AAAACTATTATATCGTTTTTGGAATTTGCGACGTATAAATTGAAAAATTTACTATAGATAAAACTATTATATCGTTTGTCTGGAAGAAATTGTAAACTATATATTTGTTAAACTCAGTTGGGACCCAAAGAACACGAATCAAGAAGGAAATAATTTTTAAACGTTATACAGACCGCTGAAAAAAAAACATTCATTGCGTCGCAATAACTAACGGAAATATGTCAACCAATGCACGCAGTGAATTTATCGGTACCTTGAGACTACTGTCAAACACAAACCGGCGAAATACATCCAATAAGAATGTCGTACAAACTTGATTTGCGCAAGTCTGTAGCAAATTGTTTTGGCAGACTAACCACAAACGAAATTCTTCGAGTGTTTAAAGACAAGCCGAGAGATTGGTCCATCTATCGTAGTTCAAGGACTTAATATGAAGGTCAAAACCCTATATAAAGCAAAAAGTCCGATCGTATTCCCAATCTGAGTGCTCTAACCTTTCAAAACTGTCACCAAGTGCCAAAAATCGGTTTGGTCAAAAAAACATTCATTTTTGTTGATTCTTATGGCTACAACACACGCAAATTTGACTGAAAATAATATCTGATTCTTACCCATTTAATTGATAACATCCCATTGAGTAATTAACACAAGCAAATTTGTGTAGTTATGCTTTATTTGGAAAAATGAATTTTGGTATTGCTAAGTCTAGGCCTCAGCCAGATACACGCAGTTTGCCTTTGTTGTATGTCTATTAAAAGACTATACAATTGAATTAAATTTCATTGATAAATATTCCAGGGCAAACCAAAGTAGCTATGATTCTGATTTCGTGCGGGGCCCGAGTAGATGCAAAAAATATTGATGGAAAAACGCCACTGGATTTGGCGAAAAATGGTAATAGTTTCAAAATTAGCCGTTATCTGCCAAGAATTAATTTGTTCCACAATCCATTTAATGATATTATCATTAACGTTTCAGTTACAAGGACTACAATTCAACAACACCTTGATTCGCTAAAAGTTTCTACCCTAGAAGGTGACTCCATACATTTTTTAGTTTAATTATAATTTTATCTTATCTCTATAATAGCGCTTATCATTTATTACTTAAATTCACACATTTCTCCTTGTACAGGCTTCATTCCAATTTCAATAACAGTCGGATTTAGTTTGATAATTGTTGTTGTGATAATTCTCATTTATTTTCTTCGTGAACGAAAGAGAAGCCATCGTTTTAAAAAACTTCTTCAAGGAAACCCAGAGAGAATCAAACTAGATCGTGCAATGAATGACCAAGCCTGTCATTTGCCATATAAAAAAGAGTTTGAATTTCCCACAGAAAGGCTTAAACTCGGAAAGGTGCTCGGTGCTGGTGAGTTTGGTGTAGTCTACGAAGGATTTGCATATGGAATCTTACCTAGAGAGGAAGAAACTAAATCTGCTGTCAAGAAGATCAATGGTGTGTCCGATAAAGAAGTAAGTTGGATTTGGAAATTATCATGGAATTGCTCAAAAACAGCATAGAATTCATTTTCAAACTTATTTTGTTAATTCTTAGAAAAGTATGCCCCGTAATCAAAAATTATATAGAATTCCATTACTTAATCTTTATATAATGTATAATAAGATTAATTTAATAATCCATTCTTATGTACAGGTAATGAAGGCATTTGTGCTTGAAGCAAAAATTATGATGCATTTGGGTCAGCATTTGAATGTGGTGAACTTACTTGGAGTTGTTACCGATAATATTGCACAAAGTAAATGAATCATTTTATGAATAATTTTTAAAAATAAATGTTCTGTCTACTTATTTATAGATGAACTGATGATTATTGTTGAATATTGTGATTACGGCAATATTAAGGATTTATTGTGGAATAATCGTGAACGTTTCATCAATCAAATTAATTATGAAAATGATACAATTGATTTAGCTAGAACAAATGAACATCATTTAACTGACCACGAAAGTGATGATGAACAATCATCCACTGATTCCTCGTACAGTGTTGAACAAAACCAAAACTCAGAGTCAAGCGAATCGGTAATTATAATAACATATCATGATTAAGACTAATTTTTTAGAAAAGAATTTTTAGAAAAGAATATTTGGCGTTAGTCTAACAGTCACAGTAACTTGACTATTGATAATGTTTATGATTACTTGATGAAGAAAATAATACATGACTAATAAGGTCAAGTTCAAAACATCATTATAATTCAGTTTTTTTATTCAAGTTTTTTGTCTGCCAAAACTATCCATCCAGAGGTAAGTCAAAAAATTTACAATACGTCTAGCGAACTGACTAGCTCAGACTTCATGTGTGCTTGTGGCCGTCAATAATTACTTTTCTTTTTATAGTTGAAAGTGAACATACAAAGATCGAATCGATTACAACGTCCGATTTACTGTGCTGGTCATTTCAAGTGGCGCGAGGAATGCACTATTTAACTTCTCGAAATATTCTACACCGAGATTTGGCTGCGAGGAATATTTTGCTGTGCACCAATAATGTGGTCAAAATTTGTGATTTCGGATTGTCACGAGATTTTTCCAAGGATGGATATTACCGAAAGAAGCAAGGAGAAGTAAAATAATTTTATTATTCAATTCAGACATGTACGATCCTTATATTCGAATGGAATTTGTAGGAAAAAGTTCCATTGAAATGGTTGGCGCCCGAATCTCTAAGCGAACCAAAATACAGTGTACATTCTGATGTCTGGTCGTTTGGCATCGTTCTATGGGAGATATTCTCACTCGGCGCAGTACCATATCCTGGTGTAAAAGCGGATACTTTTGACGACCTAAAAAGCTATTTACAAGATGAAAACAGAATGAGCAAACCAGAATATGCTACACAATCCATGTAAGTTACGAATGGTTTTTATCGTTAAAGCAATATAACAATGACTAAGAAATACATATTTTAGATACGATATTATGATTTCATGTTGGAACACCGATCCCGAGTCACGTCCATTATTCGATGAACTTGAGCAGACCATTTCTTATCTTATGAAATCTGATGATCAAGAGAAATGTGAAAATTTAAATAAATTGTTCAAGGACTCAATTGCTGAAAAATATAAATCTGGAGAGAATGCTCAAATTGACGAAAAAACACAGTCATACTCATGCTTTCCCGCTATCTTTTTTCTTAAAAAACTAAACAAAAACGATGAATGTAGAATGGATATACCGATGCAGCCCATTAATTGTTCAAATTAAAAAATGGAGTGATGCAAATAAAAATAACAAAATGTCAAACCAGCGTGGTCGACAAAGAATTTTTTTTTGTACACCGGAAAAATTTGGCAACACTCGAAGTCCGGGCCCAATTTTTTTTGCTTGGAAAAAAACTAAAAACATCATCTAAATTTCAAATTATCCCAACTTTTTTGGCCAGACCTTCGATTTACTTTTATTTTCTTTCTCTTTCCATTGTGAACAATTCTTTGTGCTTAATGTCACTTACAAATATACAATATTTGATTGAATAATAAATCCAGATTATTACTATACATTGACTGCAAGGGAAATAATCTATAAAAGTATAAAAGAACGATTGCATATCGTTTCCGTTTGTTTAATATTTACACATTTACACGCAACTGCACGATCGCAATTAATTTATTTGTTCTATTGACTTAATTATACAAGCCATTAAATCTCGATACACGTGTCATGCATAATACAATTTTTTATTCTAATTTTCCGGCGATAATAATTTGAAAATATCTAACGCTTCCGCAAATTGAAATTGCAAATGATGACGTTCATTACAAATTACAGAAACATGAATAAATAGGCATGACGAACTGTGAATATCGGTATTCATTTATTCGATATCAGAAGTATAACATTTTCAATTTAGACAGCTGAAAACTTTTGTCAAATTACATAGTCAAAATAACTGAAATATTTTACGAAAAAATTACTGTGAAAAAGTGTAAAATGAAAGTTTGTTTGTTCATTCTTGTGGTAATCACAATGGTTGTGGTTGATTTTGCAACTGCACAACGGGACAAATATGCTTATTGGAATACAAATGAATGTTGTAATGTTAAAAACAAGAACGTTATAACCGATTTCCTTGAAGGTGTTGTGAAAGCAGAAGACGAATGTTTCAAACGATTTGGTATTTATATATCAATTTCACTATCAAAAGCAGCATGGAGAATTTCAGAATAATCGGGAATTCAATTTTCAGATTCGCAAGAAACAGGAGTGCCATTCAAATTCTATTGCTTTACCGAATGCATTGCAAACAGCACAGGAGTTGTGAGTTAATATTTACATGACATTTTTTTGAAGCAATTTATTTTTTTTATTCATAGCTCAATTCCGAAGGAAATATAGACGAAGCCAATTATAAAGATTTCATAGCAAAATGGGCAGATCCATTTGACCATCAGAAAGCAGTGATTGACACAACTGCAACTAAATGTATGAAACAAGCATATAAATACATGAAGATGGCAGAAAAGGACTCAAAAGAAGCGAGTAAAGATAGTTGTAGCATTTTGGGATTGACAGCCATTGATTGTGCATGGGGAGAACTATTCAAATCTTGTCCAGCAGATATACAAGAAAACATTACCGTCTGCAAAAAAATCCGCGAAGATATTAAAACCAAGAAGTGGTAATAGACTTGATAGAAATAGACTTTGATAGAAATGATTTGACTTCAAAAATCGGTGCAAAGTATTGCCATTCCAACAAATTTAATAATAAAATACTTTTAATTTTTTCTGCTTTTTCCGTTGTTTTGCTCTTCGTATTGTAGTTCCATTCAAGTTTATTATGTGTAATATTCTAAATCCTGATAAAAAAAAACACTTAAAAAGCCTTTTGCAACAAACAAACAAACAATATTTTTATTTTTCCAAATTCGGAATCAATAGAATAGTATTTCAATAAACGATCTAAAACATCATTGCAACATCAGATATCGTAACTTGCTCATTGTCGTGTCATTCGTGTGTTTGCTACAATTAAGCACGTTCGACATAAATGTGTGAGAAAGTCCATTGAAGTATCACACATAAACTCACCATCAATAAGAACTTCACCTGCCATTATGTCGGCATTCGAATAGAATTTTCTCTTTCAAATGAATTATGTGAACTCATTCCACTGAGATAATTAAAGTTAAAGTTGTTACGAAACCGAGCGTTTTCGCTTGAAGAAGAAATCTTGACTATGAAGTAGAAACGAAGCAATGACGTTGATGGATTTCAATGTGTCTCGAACAAATTGATTTCATGTCGATTTTTACTGCTTTTTTGTTTGCCCATTGCTTAATTTACCTAAATTCTTTTTCTTACGATGGATTTTACTTCTTTCTGTCGGTTTTTCAGTTGCAAGTTTTGATTGCCAATTGACCAATGACTTGGCATTTTGATGTCTGATTGACCCCATTCTCGAACATTCTTATTAATGCACTTGACTCCATATACGGCTGTAATTAGTATTAAGACGAAACAATCAAATTTCTATCATGAAAATAAAGTACAATTTTTAGAGGCGTAAATTGCATTTCACCTTTTCACATATATGAAGCGAATGCAACAGCCTACTTTCTGTCGATGATGAGGTCATTACAAATAAAATCAAAAGAAATCGAACCGGATTCTCACTCATTCCATTACGTGATGCATTTTCGGCAACCAATTTTTCTTGTAAATGACGATGTCTGACAAATTCTTATGCAAAAAAGACGTACTCATCATCAAATCATTTCCTACTTTCCGAAAACAACGATTCATAAAATGAATCATAAAAGACATTTCAACAAAATAAACTTAAAATCGACTTATGATTTTTTTGTCCATATTTGATAAAGTTTATGGTAGAAAAACTAAATACGCCTCAAGGTATGCAAAATATATTTTTAACTAGGAAAAAAAAAGTGAACAATCTCGGGCGTTTCGCAGTCGCTTTCTAAATTTCTCTTAAGCGGGTTTCTGTGAGTTGAAGTCTTTCTTTCACGTTGGAGATTTTATTATAAAAAACCGCATAAAAGTTTTAAAATGTTCACTTTTTTCGAATCAATACGGAAGTTTCGAAGAAAGCTTTATCTCGTGGAAAAAATGAATTTCTTTTTTTAGATATAAAACTTCGTACAATGTTCAAATTGATGTTTGAATGGAATCAAGCGTTGTTCATTCGAAATGATAATTGAATGATTCACCTCAAATTGCAAAAGAGATCCGTTAATCCGGGATACAATCAGAAGGCGTTTATCGGCAATAAAATTACAGATTCCCTTTGTATAAATGGGGCAAAGCGGCTCTATTCGATTCAAGTAGCAAAAAGTTATCACTTATTCCTTTCCCGTCTGCCAATCATAAAATTCAAATAGGTTTTTCCCTCTCTATCGATTTAAAGTACAGTGTTTTTAATTTAAAAGAAAAAAAAACTCTCTTTAGTCTTTACTACAAATTAATCACAATTTTTGCTACACTATTGGAAACCGCAGTGCTGCTGAGCTACAGCAACAGACAATGCACACATTAAAACATGGTAATTAGACTAATGTGTTCACTCTGAATAGCAAATTGAACAGCTGTCGATGCACACAATCGCCACTTTTGCTTTGCGATTGGCAATGCGCCAATGATTGCAAACACAAACCGCGCACTTTGTTCTCATGCATTCGGCGTACGGAGCAAAATGAAAATGCATGGTCTTATGATAATTAACGAGTACTACTTACATTTGTCTTTAATTCCATGTACAAAAGAGTTCCATTTGGTTTATTGTTAGATTTATTCATTTACACTTTTTTTATCTATAAAAATGTATAAATTTTTGTCGATTTTTTTCTGTTGTCAGTACATTCTTTTCCCATTTCTCTTTTTTTTGCTCTTTCAATGTCTGTCGTAGAAGAAGTGTGCAGTTAAGAATACGCTTTGTTCGCATCGTTTTCAAGTGGAAATTTCAAAAGACTATCAAAATAGATTTGAATAAATATGAAATTATCGCTCAAAAGACAGCGGTGCTTTCGCATTGTCGCTGGTATTGATATAAAAATGAAATTGGCAGTTAGCCATTTGATTAACAGTACTCTAAAATTCCATTCCATTTGCAAACTCTCAAGTGTCCATTCCGTTTGACGTTTTTTTTTCTCGCCTGTATACATTCAATTTGCGTCTTCTATTTCTACCCAGTTTCGTTTGAAAGACCAACAAAAAAAAATGGCAACCGTCATGAATCAAGTGAAATTGTATGACGAAAAATGTGTCTCGTGCACGTCATCGTATATAAATAGGGTACAATCGTAAATAAATTTCACTAAAAGGAACTAATTGAAAACATGTCCATAATAATTGCCCATTTTTTTGTGTGTAACATACAAAAGGAAATTAAAATGCATATTGCGTATTTGACTTGGTCTCCATTCAGCGAATCAAAAGATTTGCCGCTTTTAAGAATTGCACAAAAATATGAATTCACCAAGACGGAAAAAAACGACCATGACATTCATCATCGAAGAGGAATTTTTTCATCGTTTTCGTTGTTTTTGTTCATTGGTCAGACAATGCGCTTCCACGCTTGTACACAGAACAATGCGAGAAATTAATATTTCTGAACTGCATGGGTGTGTTGTACATTTATGTTATTTGTATCGTTTTTAGAATATGCGTTTTTAATAATAATCTGAGGAGGGAAAGAACAAAAAAAATTGATGAACAGCAAAAGCAACAACAAACAAAATGAATGCTTAAAGAGGAAAAAGCTCATAAAAATCAACAGCAACGGCAACAACGACGACGGCGAGGTTGATGATGGCGACAGCGCCGAAACAAAAACAACCGTCCATTAAATCCGTTGTGTTTTTGGGTCACTAGGACAAAATCCAATACACATACCATATTGAATATTTTCATTAAGAATCTTTCTCATTTTGTCGCTGACGATGGCGACGAAAAAAAAAATAGAAATACATAAAAATACTAATCGTCGTGTGTTCGCACTCGCACACACACTCCACATGAACGATGATGCAAATGAGCACCACTGTTCAAGTGAGTACCAAACGGACGAGAGACGAAAGAGACACAAAGCAAATGAAATCAACTGAATCATCGTATCGTTCATCAAAGGCCGTCGTTGTATATTCAAAAATTCCATCGAAATTTCATTGAATCGGATCACATACACGAAATCAATCGATTAACTTAGAAAGACAGATTTTGTTGTCTGGTTCTCTTTCTCTTCGACTCTTATGTGAACGATTGAAAACATTTTCTACGCATTTCAAACCGAAAATCAAATGGATCAAATAAACAGTGCGGCCAATATCACAAGCTGATTGAATAACGGCATTCACGAAAAAAAATGTGTATATATACATGAGATTGGGTGGGAATTGCTTTGATAGTCCACATTTTTCTCTCTCTCTCTCTTTCTCTCTCTCTTTCAATTTCAGAAAAATTGTTGTTTTCTTGTGGATTTGGATAATAATTTATCGTTGTGTGTTCAATTTATCTGAACCGTGTGTACTTCATCCACACACCATTCAGTTGATTGAAAATGCGGTAACCAGTTAGCTTATGTATTTGTATACTAATGTACAGTTTTCGTGTACAATGCACACCGAAAAAAACGCAATACTATCGACAGCAATCAACATAAATATTACTTACGTCTTGTTCTTTGGTCAAATATAGAATTAAAAAGAGATATTTTCATAAAAATGAAAAAGAAAACCTTTGTTGAGCTTATGAGCACCGGTACCACAAACGACATATGATATGTTTTCGACGTAAATGTGTGGCCACATCACAAGAGTGAAAGACTTTTCCCATTCGGTGTCGTTCTCAATATCAGATAGCGAAGCGAGATAAACAAAAAAAACAGACACGACAACGCACAAAATTCCAAAATTTCAACAATGAAGCACCTAGAATCGAGGTCAGTGGAGACGAAGTTTCGGAAACAAATCGATTTCGTATGCAAATCATTTTCGATAAGAAAAAACACAGAGAGAGACAGAGAGAAATGTTATTTTTGTTTGGAGCCACATCGGTATGACATTACTTACGATTGTCACATAACGATTATTCACTTTCTTGTCTTTTAATGGCCAATTTGTGTTTTGTCATTTTATTCTTCTCTTGCGTTTGTCCTCTTTCATTTGGACGCTGTTGTGAAAGTCCTGTTCACTGCTCAAATGATGCCATATCATTTCAAGGCCGTTGCTTAAATTTCTCTTCATCATCTTGTTATCGTTTTTATCTTTCTTCGGAAATTCGTGCGTGCATAGCAATTTGTCGTGCACGATGACGCAATGGCATACCAATTGGATGTGCAATCATTGCAAGTCGTAATGTATCGTCGTCATCATTCAATCTTGCGTCTTCCATAGATGCCATATGGTGTATGCAATGTTTTACGATATACCCGAAGTGAATTCACTTTATGATTGTCGTTCTCACTGCTGCATCGTGTTTTATTGCCTTTTTTCTCTTTGAATTTTTCCTCTCTCTCTCCCTCTGCCTTTCTTCTGCATTTCATCGGTCAATATTTAACCAAGAATACAATTGTTGAACACGCACGATCAAAATATTTATGCAAATGAATTGCTTAAATAATAAGACAAACGATCACGATTTCACCTGGACGAATGATCAAGTGAGCGTGTTAGATGACCAAAGTCAACTTTGGTTCGCAACAGCACGTGTTGCCGATGCAAACATATAAAACACAATAGAAATAGAAATAGAAAAAAAATCTACGGGAAAAATTCAAGTAAAACACATGGTTAATTCTTTCCTCTTAAAATAATAAATTGTTATTATTCATTAATTTTTCTTTTTGTTGATGTTGTTACTATTGCTCGCTTGTTTCGTCAGACACGTAAATAAATAAAATAAATAAATAAATAAATATTTAGTCGAAGTAGGTAATTTGAAAACAATTACATCTTGCTTAATTCTTGCTGCGTTTTTCCTTGTTCAAATACTTTTTACAAATTGTAATACATAAATAATAAATTTACTTTCTTAGCATGTTGTTGATATATATAATTTTTTTTGGTCTTCGCGTTACTTGTGTGTTTGTGTCAGTGTGCTTTGAATGTGACTATATAATGGTATATCTGGCGCGCGTTCGTTACGTTTTCATTCCCTACACTGGTTTTTTTTTTGTTCTCTCATTTTCATCATGTTTCTTTTCATCTTTCACGTCGTCATCTTTTTCTCATTCGTTCATTTTCATAAAATTGGAAAATAGAACAAAACAAATCTGATTTAAAACTCAAAGAGAGAAATTATATATTAAAAAAAATTATATAGAAATTTCCAAAAGAACACGTTAAGCAAAAGAATTTCCATTTTTTTATAAACACATTCGTTGGGGTTTTGTTTCGGAATTTCATGATTGATTTTTTTAGAAGCCACGAACGGAGAAAGAGATACCGTTTAGAATCATTTTTTTTATTAAGTTTTTGTTTGTATTTGGCGTATTGGTTGATTTTCACGAGTCAATGTTTAACCTTGGAAATATGAAGCACCATTATAGAACATCGGTTTCTTGAGGTAACCTATGGATTGAAATTTTATCGGAAACAATTTGAATATGTATGAAAATATCGATGCGAGGAGCAAAGATGATTTACCTGTCCAAACGTCATCTTGGCGTTTCACTTTGGCTCCAGTTTGAGTTGCGAGCATTGGTTGTGTAACATGGGCTTTTTGTTGTGCCGTCAAACTAGCCATGACTGGACTGAGTTGACTTTCTTGTGGTGCAATTGCTTCCGATGTGAATGTATGTTGTGCAGCTGGCTGAACAGCGAGCGTGTCGTGAGCAGCTTGTTGCAATGGCATTGAGAACAAATCACCTCCATTTAATTCGGCCGTTGTGTGATAATTATGACTGGGCAAAGCGTATTCCATGTTGTATGGTAAACCAACTAATCCATGATCACCGTGATCGAATCCATGCCATCTAGATTACATTATGCATTTAAAAATTGAATATTTCATAAGGAAAAGAATGAAAAATAAAAGAATGGTTAGAGGAAAGGAATTGTATACTTTTCGGTAGCAGAATCCATGAGCTTCTTGAAAACAATGGTACCGGCCACAAGCAATGCCAATTTCGAGACAACTAATGCTTTAACGGTTAAAACAGCAACTGCCTTAACGGCAAGTAACATCCAGCCAACAGCGTTGAATGCCAAGAACAATGGAATGAATGTTTGCACATATTTTTTGCCTTTTCTCAATCCGCCGCCGCCACCACCACCACCGAGTCCTCCGTGTCCACCACCGAGCCCGTTGCGACGACGACCTTTGAGTTGGTTGAAACATTTATCGATTTTAGTACCAACAACAAATCATTTGAACAAAATTTGTTTTCGCTTTGGCACAAACCAAAGGCCACGAAAACATGCACTTTATTATTTAGTTAATGATTACCTTCTTGTTGAACATCCTTTTCAAGAGCAACTTCAAGGTAGTCGGGATATTGTTCGGCCCGTTGAACGGTCATAGCGAGTCCAGCGAATGGTATGCGCAATTGATTATCAGCAAAAATGTTTGACATAAATCCACGTCCTTCACTGATTGGTTTCGATTTTTCACCAACCGGTTGAATGCTGAATAAACCATCGAAATTGAATGATTTTCGTTGTTGTAATCCGTGCAAGAATTCATTTTTGATATTATCGAAACAGCTGGCATTATTTGCACAATCCCAGGTCATTTTCGATACTAACGATTCACTATTTTGAGTTGCCTGATCGGCAAGCACTAATGAACTCAACAACACCGTTAGCACTACATATTTCAAGCACATTTTGCGAACACTTTGGAATGACATTTTATACGATTGATTCGCCTTTTTTTCTGATAAAATGTATTTTTTTTGTTGTTGTTGTGATATTCAACTAGAATTTGTTTTTTTTTCGTAATCAAAACTTCTATTGCGCGGACCGTATTACACTATGCACATGATATTTTGCTCGAAAAGAGAAAATCGGCACGAAAATATTTTGTGGATTTTTCGCTGCTTGTTGGCTCGAGATGTTATTTTTGCTGTTGTTCTCGATAAACTGATTGAGACCGATCTAGTTTCCTCTGTTTTTGAAAAACAATGCAGTGCAGGCACTAATTGTTTCTTGGTTTGGTGATAAAGCAAAAATAATGATGCATTTGGAAAATCTTCCATTTTTATGGTTTTCACACTTTGTGAGCATGCCCCCCATTTTTCCATCGATTTTTCCAATTGCATGCAATTATTTTGCGCATAAACGAAATAATCACAATGCAAACGGCTCATACACATCGAGCAAACGAACGAACGAACGAAAAAAAAAAAAACGAAAACATGATGAACAAAAACAACAACCAAGAATCGTAAATAATCATATCAATTTTTTTTGCTCATCCATCGTCGTTTTTTTCGCACTACTTTGCCGATTCGATCAGAGTTTATCATTTGGAAAATTGATACTTAGCGGCTGCGGTTGTCAGTGTGTGCGTGTGAATTGGCCATGAAAATACGCCCGTGCAATACACCGGCACTGAAATCCATGTACATACATGCATATTTTATAACAGAGTGTCTGTGTCGATAGCGACTGCAAGCGATCTATTGCAAATTTGCACGGTAACGAAATGTGCAAGCTTGTGACTGGCCGTATATTCGGTTTGTGTTTCGAACAAGCGAATGAACGAGCGAAAGAGTGAGCGCACGCTCGTATTCGTTTTGGGCTTAAAAATTGCATTTGTTGCTGTTGGTTGTATGCCAACGATTTCGAATGGTTAACTTTTTGGTATTTTCTTAGTTCTTTGTACACACAGGCGCGAATAATCATAATTTGGTCATAGCACTGTAATTGGAGTGCAATATTTATTGTGTTACACAGCGAGCTCATGTTTTGTTGCCTGTGTGTATTGTGGTTGGGTTTGATGTTTTTTAGTTTTTGCGCTGCAGGAGAAAAAAGATGAAAGCGCTCAATTGCAATCATAATTTGTGTGTTTAATGGATCATGATAGCATTTTTCGCAAAACATTCTTCACATAAACGGCGCAAAACGCGAATTAACTCTTGCACGGCCTGTTCGCCTGCCAGCCAACTGCAGTTTTGCATTTGTGATAAGCAATCAACAACAACAGAAGCAATAACAAGCACAAAACAACAAAAGATCCACATCCAATAAATGATAACAATAATATTGTACGAGTGTACACGGCGTACAATGCTACAAGTCAGTGGCGACCGAACGCGCATTTCGTTCGTGTTTTCTAAAAAAAATGTATTATGTACCCAATGAAACTAAACATGATTAATTTTCTTTTTTTTTCAGGTTGATTTTACTTCGTTTTTTTCGCCGATGGTGTATGACTTTGTGCAATAAATGGCGACGTCGGGGCAGTGTCTTCTTTCTATTCCATAAGTTGGACGCGCTCTTGTTATAGATGCCAATGTTTTTTTTAGAATAAATTTCCATTTTATTGTCTTCTTCTGATCGTTGCGCTTGTTCGTGCCACAATTGCATCCTGATATTTGCAATTACACTTATTTAAGTGTTAATATACGTGTCAGCGTTTTTTTTTTTCAAAAGAAGATTTTCCCTTCGCTCTTTCTGCCTCACTTCTTCTACCACACTTTCTCAAAGAGAGTCTCTTTGCATACATTAATCCTTATGAAATCCAATTTACTTACCGAATCGCATATGTCAATGAACCAGATCGGGTCATGAACCTTCTTTTTTTTAATTTTAGTTAAAGGTTCAAATTTAATAAAGAAATTCGAAAGCGAAATCCATTGGCTTTCTTTCGTGTTAAAAATTGAAATGTTATGAATAGAAAGTATTGCTAAAAATTGCTTATTTTACACACATTTGAGAAGCTTGGGTCAAATTCAAAAACATGATTTTAATCAATTAGCGTCTCCAAATAAAGCCAAAATGAAAGCAAAAGTATTTCCATGTCGAAATACTTTCATCTCTTTGATTCGATTCAAAGTCACCGATCAATTCGGATTTAATTACAACATTGTGCATGTTCTTTTTTTATTATTATTTGGGTGATACAAACGACTCCATCTGATTATTATTTGATTTCTTTGAATGTTGTGAAATGTGTACGAAAAAAGAGTGTAAGATTATTAAAGATTACGTTCCCGTGAAAATACGTTTGGTTTCGGTGATATGACCGGGTACCGAAGCCCTAATTCACACATACGTGTATCGCACAGCCGAAATGAAAGAGAAATTTTTTTTCAGTCAAAACATCCAAAGATTTACGACCAAACTGAAATAAAATGAAAATGAAGACAACAACTGTATCAACTGGTCATTCCAAAACAAAAAACGAAAAACAATGACCAGCAAACATGAAAACTCTTCGTACCAAACTAAAAAAAAAATATATACACACACAACAAGTTTTAAAAACATCAGCCAAAGCCAGAGCAATTACAAAGTTTCGTTGATTAATATTAATCGGCAACTAAAAATGTATCTAAAAAAAAAACAACCATTCGAAATGCCATAAAACAATTATCGTTTGCGTTTGCATTTCGTGTTGGGCTTTATGTAAATTCAAGCATTTTTCGTTGTTCTTCGCTTGCGAGTGTGTGTTTGGGCAGCACTTGGCATTTCTTTTTCACTCTTCGGCGCTGTGAATAGCCCTTGAGTTTGCGTGTTTTTTTCTTCTTTTTCTTCGGTTCGTATGCAACTGATGTGATGCTTAAACAAGATGATGAAATGTTTTCCGTTTTACTTTCACCAAAAAAATCATCGTGTCGTCTTTTTTTTGTTTCTATTCCAACGCACATTCATTTTTTAAACATTTGTTTTTTGGATGTAGCATGACTGGATCTGAAGATCACAGTTTCAATCCATCAACAACAAAAAAGCAGATCTGATCTTCAATCGCATGCACCCGCTTGAGACACACCAAATACGAGAATAAAAAGAGCGAATGGATTGTGGGAAATGTTCAATTCGAAATGACATGAAATCATCAGAATTTAATTTAATTTTGATCTTTTTTGTGAAGCACATACCATCATCATAACATCATTATATTGCTTACATTCGATTGTACATTTTTATTTTGCACCGATTGTTTCATCATCCACCGAAATTTCTCTTTCACCTTTTAATAGAGCATGCTTGGTTCGGCATTGTGTCACTTTCATCGGGCATGCGTATCCAGTTCTGTCTTGAAGTTCAATTCACATGGTCAAAAGTCGAGCATCAACACATTGGAGTGGAAGAAAGAGAGAGCTCTCTAGAGAGCGAGAAAGAAAGAGAGAGAGCGAAAGAGAGAGAGAGAGATGAAAAGCGAGAAAAAGAACAATAAGACAAAAGAAGAGAAAAGTGCTTGTTGCAATTGCTTCCTTACGTTTATATTTTATTGTCAGCTGACACAGAGCCAGTCAGATTTCAATTGTTCAGGTTTCATTCAACAACATATTTACCTCATAAAATCCAAGTGACTCACTGCCATCAACTCACAATTTTCACCGTCAATAAACTTGTAAGAGTGCAAAAAACAAATTACACTCATTTTCATAGTTCATTTATTCAATGTGTGGCCAGAAGATAATGAGCAATAAAAATGACAGCTAACATCGACTCGTTTTCAGTGATTGCATTGACTCCAAAATTACATCTCATTTACAATTATACAGCGATTATTTTTGGGCATACATATGAGATAAAGTTATAAGTCAATTGAAAAAAACACACACCGTATTTCAGTGCGATGAAAAGAAAAATGAATTGTTTGTTTTTTTTCTCTCGTTCATTTCGTTTCAATTGGGAGTGAATGGTTTTCTGGTGCGCGCACAATGTTTTAAAATCAATTTCCATTATACCTAACGATGGATCATCATTTCATTTCGTTTCGTTTCGATAAATTTCTTTCTATTTGCTTTACTTAAATACACATGATTTTATTTCCATCGATTTCTATTTCTTTGCCATAACGATTAAGACATTTCTTCTTCTTCTTCTTCTTTTCTCTGCTACTCTTCTGCTCGGAACACAATATCGGTTTCGAGCAACAATTACATTTTGCGTTGGCACAAACAAGAACAACACCTTATTTTGGACAAAGTTCACGAACACAGCAACGCATTGGTGAAAACAATTGGTTTTTAGTTCGTGAAACATCCATTTATACACAGTAAAAGGTGTATTCAATTACCAAAATGTGGATAAGTGTATCGGATCTTGTCAGTCTCATTAGCAAACCATTGAAATCAAAGTGATTCGATGCTAATGCCACTCTCTGTAGAATTCAATTACTTTTCATTCACCTTGTGTGTCGGAGACCGCAAAAATTCAAAATACATTCGGAAATGCTTTATTTCTGCGTTCATTGTTATTGAAACGGCACTTAAAATGTGACAATTCCAATGTGTAGTAATTACCATTTATTTGAAATGGTTTATGATGAGCCAGCCAATTTTGTAAGATGTAATCCAAAACACATCATTACCGCTTTGAAATTTCAATTTACCGATCCCGCCCCGAAAATCATCTAATTGAGCTTTCAAACCCAAACGATCAACATGAGCTGAAGCAGAAGAAGGAAGCACAAAAAAACGCAATTGAATTCACCAAAACCGAAAGATCGTTGATTTTAATTAGAAATCACCTTCTCTTTGTCGGGGCAAGATCAAATGTGCAAACGATCACTCTCGCACTCACAAATAAGCAACAAATACGAATAAGCGTTTAATTAATTCAAAAGTAGTAAGAGATAAAAAAATGTTTTTTTTTGACAAACTAAAAAGTTGTTTGTGTACTTCAGTTCGCATTCACTTCATCGCATTGAAGTTTTCTTCTCAGCTCATGCTTGACTATGGATTGATTAGTAAACGAATAGAACGAAACTGGCAGCAGTGGCAACAACAACAAAAAATAGAAGACAAAAATCAGTGTATATATGTATCTCTGTGTGTATGTATAATTATAAAATATATTCATAATAATGGAGAGAAAAAAATATTTATATATCCATTATAAAGCGAAATTATTTTCACTGACCCCATTCCGTTCATCCGCTTTAATTTAATAAATTTTTTTTCTTCTTGTTGTTGTTTATTTTTTTTTATCTTCGTGCGATACAAATAACATAACATAATACCAAACATAGAAAAAGATATGCGCGGTGCG